GCCCGCTCCCACCTCCCGCCAGGCATCGCCGGGACCCCCCACGGCGGCACTTACGTAGGGTGATGAGGGCTGCCAGGGCGGCCACCAGGAGCACCCCCATGCCCACAGCTAGGACGGTGCCCAGCACCCAGCGGGAAGGGGCCGGAGGGGACATGGGTGCCGGTGCTGTGGGAGAGAAGCCAGAGATGCCCTCAGCCGGGTCCAAGACACCCCTGGGGATGCCGGAGCTGCTGGGAGAGGAGCTGGGCTGGGGAAGGAAGGGGGTCTGGCAGCTGCTGGCTCCTGCCCGCACCATCCCAGCAGAGCAGGGCTTACCTTGAGTGGGGCTGGGTGGGTAGCGGATCTGCAGTCTCTCGTACAGGTCCGGCCCCGTCACGGCCATCCCAGAGGCCGGCACTCTACAAGGAGCTGCTGCTTCCTGCTGGAGCCTCAGCACACACCAGCGAGGGCAGCCCGAAGTGCCAGGAAAGGGAACCTTGCAGCCGGGCACCCGCAACAGCTTGTGGGTACCGGTTCCTGCCACTGGCCAGGGCGTCACACGTGTCCCCCCGCCCCGAGTGGCATCGTCTGGGGACAACCCTCCGTGCAGGGTACATGGCCATGTCCCAGCCCTGAAATAGGGACTCGCTGACTCCCCACCCACCCTGCGAGCAACTCCTGCCCCAACCCCTGACCCGAAAGGTTTTGTCCCAAAGCACATCTCAGTTGTAATTTGTGTTTCCCACCCTCAGACGCAGAAACACTGGGGAAACCCCTGAACCCACTGGCAGCCTTCGACGTGGGGCTGGCATTGTGCTGTTATCAAGGAGGAGAAGGGCTGTTGTTATCATTATCGTCGCCATCGCCATCATCACCATTACACTGGTGATGTGCAGGAGCAGTGCCAGAAGCCACGCGGAGGCTGTGAGGACGGACGCCCACGGCAAGCACTGTCCTGTGCCTGGTGCCTGATGTCTGATGTCTGCCTGGGGCCACCCAGCTCCTCCCAGCACCAACCCCAGGTGCTGCGGTGGGACACCCAGCACCACCGCCTGCGGCACAGACCTCCCGGGGCCTGCAGCTGCCTGTGCTCTGCTCCAGAAACACCAGGATATGGTATTTCAGGACTTGTGGGTTTTAGTTCGTGGGGTTTTTTCTCCCCATTTCAGCCTAAACCATCATCGCGTTTAACACAGACGCTGGAAATAGCTCCCAATAGCAATGGTGTTATACCAACAAATGGAGGAATTGCCAAAAAGTCCAGGGGCACGTTTCCACTCAGCCGCCCCCGCCACCCTCAAGCATGGGTTGGGCCCCTGGGGCTGTGGTGGTGGCCCCGCAGTGGACAGACCTTCCTCCTCCTCCTCCATACTCTTCCCCGCTTCCCCTCCCCAGGGCACAGACATTCCTCCCCCCTGTTTAGTTTTAGGTAGTTTTGTGAGGAGCAGGGAGTTGGACTCAATGATCCCTTCCAACTTGAGATATTCTATGATTCTGCATATTGACATAATAATAACATTTAATTTATTGGGCTGCGCTTTGCTTTTCTGTCAACACGACTCGATCATTCCTACCTAACATGGATATGGACTGTAATGCCTTGAGTCTTTTGTTTCCTACCTACATTTTTATAAAGTTTTCCAGGGATACAGCGCCGCCAAACCCGTGAGCAGCATCGAACAGAGATGCTCACCCATTCAGGGCTGCTGGGACCTCAGGAGATGAGAGGATGCAGCGTTGTGAAACGGGGTGAGTCAGGGCTGACGTTCACCAACACCCATCACCAAGAGGCTGCATGATGCTGGAGAAGTGGCCAGAGGAAGATGAAACAGCTGGGGAAGAGGAAGGAAGCTGGCTCAACTGTGTGTTGCACAAGTGGTGAATCATAGAGTCGTAGAATATCTCGAGTCGGAAGGGACCCATCAGGATCATTGACCCCATCGCACTGCAAGGAGCAGGGAGAGGAGCAGGGAGTTAGACTCAATGATCCTGATGGGTCCATTCCAACTTGAGATACTCTATGATCATAAGACTTAAGAGCATCATCCAGATGCTCCTGAAACTCTGCCAGGCTTGGTGTCGTGGCCACTTCCCTGGGGAGCCTGTTTAATTCTAATAATTCGATGTCCTTCTTCTGTTGAGGTGCCAAAAACTGCACACAGAACTTGAGGTGGGGCCACACCAGTGCAGTGCAGAGTGGGACAATCACCTCCTTCAACCAGCTAGCTACGCTGTGCTTGATGTACCCCAGGACACGGTTGGCCCTCTTGGCTGCCAGGGCACACTGTTGACTCATATTCAACTTGCCATCAACCCAAAACCCCAGATCATTTTCCACAGGGCTGCTCTCCAGCCTCTCATCCCCCAATTTGTACGTACAACTAGGATTACCCAGTCCCAGGTGGAGAATCTGGCACTTGCTCTTGTTAGCCTTTGTACAGTTGGTGATTGCCCAGCTCTCTAGCCAATTCAGATCTCTCTGTAAGGCCTCTCTGCCCTCGAGGGAGTCCACAGCTCCTCCTAGTTTAGTATCATCGGCAAACTTACTTCATGCACATTCGATTCCTGTATCCAGATCATTTATAAAAACATCAGAGAGCCTGGGGAACCGCACTGGTCTGGGGGTTCCACCGGACTGGCCACCAGCTTGATGTGACCCCATTTACTATAACCCTTTGAGCCCCACCCATCAGCCAATTGCTCACCCAACGTATTATGGACTTGTCTAGCTGTGTGCTGGACATTTTGTCCAGAAGGATACTGTGAGAGACGGTATCAGAAGCTTTGCTAAAATCCAACCCCACCCTGCATCTACTGGCTTTCCTTGGTCAACTAGATAGGTGGTCTTGTCATAAAAGGAAATGCAATTGGTTAAGCAGGACTTTCTCCTCATGAACCCGTGCTGGCTCTGATCAATGACTGTGTTGTCTCTCAAGTGGTTTTCAGTCACTCCCAGAATAACCTTCTCTATTGTTTTAGCAGGCACTGAAGTAAGATTGAGAGGCTGTAATTACCAGTGTCTTCCTTCTTTCACTTCTTGAAACCTGGGACAACATTTACCAGCTTCCAGCTAACTGGGACATCTCCAGACACCCAAGGCTGTTGAAAAATAATGGAGAGAGGTCCCACGATAGCATCAAGAGACGTTATCATGACACCATCATGATATCATGACATTATATGCTAACATCAGGGAGTGGGCAGGGGAGGGATGGTCCCTGCCAGGGAGCATCACGCTGGAGTCCGGCCCAGTGTCCCCATCGCTTATCCATTGGTGACAGCAGCAGGCACCTCCAGGCAGGCATGAAGGCAGAGAGCAGCCCCAGGTTGATAACTGAGGGGAATCTCTCCAGGACACGTGGGAGTTATGGCCAGAGATGGCTCCTGTCAGCAGGAGATCCCCAGGGGTTTCCCCAAACTGGGTACAGCTCCTGTGCAGACAAGCGTCGGTCTGCCAGTCGGAGAGCAGAAAACCCCCAAATGATTCAAGATCAGCTTTGCAGCAGCAGGCAGGAGCCAACACTGCAGGCAAGATCCCAGGCTGCAGGTTACAGGCCCAAACCAGGGCACAAAACAGAGAACAAATAATGCCAAATAGTGAAAAATTCCTTGAAAATGGGATCATGGCTGTGGGACTTCGCCAAATAGCAGAGCTGTCATGCAAAAGGATGCTCCAGGGACACCCATCATCCCGTGCCTCTCTCTGCGTGCAGGGTTTCCCCAAACCTTCCTTGCAGCCCCGCTGCCTGCACCCACCTCTGGCCCAACCAGTCCAAGTTGACTCAGCCTGCTTTCTGATGAGGAACTGGAGGAGCAAACCTTGTCCGGGGGCTCTGCCGGGAAGATCACCCGCACCCCACAGCACCCCTGCGCTCAGTCATCCATCCATTCTTCCATCCATCCATCCATCCATCCATTCCTTCATCCATCCATCCCTTCACCCATCCATCCCTCCCTCTACCTATCCCTCATCCATCATCCCTCCACACACACATCCATCCACCCACCCATCTGTCCATCCTGCCCTCCTTCTCCTGGGTGTGTTTCCAGTTCTGATCTAATCTAATCCAACCTAGTGCAACCTAATCCAACCCAACCTGGCCTTGGGTGGGTGTCTCACCCCTCTACCCAAGGCCAAAGCCAAATGGCAGCATTCTCTTGCCCAGGGGACCCTGCATGCTGCCGCAGGGTGCCATGGCCTGGAGGTGTCCCGGTGGCACCCTGCGAGGGGACCAGCCCTGTTCGGAGCTGGGCAAGAGAAGGCAGTGGTGGGCAGGGGCACTGGAGATGCTCAGGCGGAATTAACCGGACACGGGTCTGTGAATGCCGGAGGTGGGCAGAGGCGAGCAGGAGCAGGGCAGACTCCGATGGCAGCTTTTTGGGGAGCAAATGGAGCAGCACCCACAGCCCAGGCCCCCCCTGTGTCCCCTAGGATCCCACCAGATCATCCGTGTGCCCATCGGTCCACCTGTGTGCCCAATGGACCATCCACTGATCCATGTGCTCACCCACCCATCCCTGTGCCCATCACTCCATCCGTGTGTCCACTGGACCATCCCTTTGCCCATCAGACCATCCAAGTTCCCATCAGATCATCCATGTGGCCATCAGTCCATCTGTGTATCCACTGGACCATTCCTGTGCGCACAGGACCATCCGTGTGCCCATCAGTCCATCCCTGTGCCCATCAGACCATCTGCATCCCCACCGGTCCGTGCAGGAGCACACTGCTGTATGCTCAAGTCTCTGCTAAGCCGTGTGTTCCCCGGTGAAAGCCCCGGCAGTGCCCACGCTCCTGGGAGGCACCAGGCAGCCCGGTGAAGACAACAACAGCCAGCAAGCCTGGGGCCAAGACACAGAGACAAGTCCCAAGCAATGGGACTTGCGCCGTGCTGGCTGAGTGAGCGGCAGGAACGGGGTCAGACCTGGACACAGCGTGGGGTACCCAGGTGACATGCAGCAGCACCCAGGGACACTCGCTAACTAGCCAGGAACGATCCCCGGGGAAGCCACATGTCCTGGATGGTGTCCCACGGGTCTGTGGTCACTGTGAGCAGGATGGTCCCTCCGTGGGCGCTGCCAGCCCCAGGTCCTCCCCGGAGCCCCGGCACCAAGAGCTGGTCCTTCCTGCCGGTGGGATGTAGGAACCGTGTGATCCCTGCTGCCCCACGGGGAAACTGAGGAACAGACCGAGCGTCTGGGGACCACCGAGGGAGTGCAGAACAGTGACAGGGTTGGAGGGCAGCTCTTGCTGTCACCCACCGCTCCGCTCCCCAGGAGGTTTCCCACTAAATCTCTCTGCCCACCCTTTCTGGGACATTTCTCCCCACCCCTGTGGGGTGACGGGTGCCCGGGGGGACAGCCTGGGACCATGTGCTGTCCCAGGGTCTGTGCTGCACGAGGTCTGGCGGTGCCGATGCTGCTGTCCCCATGTGCGTGTGGGGTGTCCCCAGCCTGGCTCATCACATCCCCAGGAGCCCCCTCTTCCCTGCCTTTGCCCGACCGGCAATGGGAATTGGTGCAGCGGGTTTGGGGACGGAGGGGATAGGGAGGATCCCCACCGTTGGCACCGGGGCTTTGCAGCCAGCGCCGTGCCAGCTGCCTGTCCCCCTCTCACTTCAGCCATCTCTCCAGCGAGGGACCTGACCCAGTGCCCCGTTCTGGGGTGTCTGCGCCAGGGTGGGCTGGGAGCCTCGGCCCCCACGATGCCGATGGCACGGAGCATCCCACCGGAGGCTGCTTTCCAACCAGCTCCCGGGGCACAGCGGATGGAACTGGGCTGTCACACAAGCACTGTCTGCAGGATCCGCCGTCGTGACAAACTCAGCCCCAAGTCAAGCCAGGGGAGAAGTCCTCTCCTCCGGAGCTGCCAGCTCCATTAAGCAAGCAATTAGTGCCCGCTCAGGATGTCACCACGTGGGTGACAGGCAATTCCCAGAGACAAGCTCGCCCTGACAGCTGTCCCCAAGGAGCCGTGCAGATGCACACGCAGAGGAAGGAGTAATTTAGGAAAACCCTTGCAAATATTACCAGAGCTGATTTATTAACTCCGAGGTCTCACTGCTTACTCGAGTCCCCTGGGACACACAGGGCACGCAGGAGCCCACGCCGCACGCCTGCCCGACGGCTCCTTTTGCCCCAGGTTGGGGTAAAGTGAAACCCAGGAGAAATGGGCCAGGTCTGGGGTGGGATCCCAGCGGGAAGCGGGGCTTGGGGTCCTGCTGCTGGGAAAGCCTGTCCCAGTCCCATCCTTTTCCCCAGGGAGAAAAGGAAGGCGGGGGAAGAGATGAACCCAAAGTGAGGGGTGCCCTGCTGTTGTCTCTAACGGCAAAATTCAAGCTAGAAGAGGCCCAGCGGGAAAGTGCCAAACTGGGCCAAACTGGGTGTTGCACCACAAACCGTCCTGCGTTGAAATGGGAAGAGGAGAGCCCCCTGCGTCCCAGTCCCATCCTTTTCCCCAGGGAGAAAAGGAAGGCGGGGGAAGAGATGAACCCAAAGTGAGGGGTGCCCTGCTGTTGTCTCTAACGGCAAAATTCAAGCTAGAAGAGGCCCAGCGGGAAAGTGCCAAACTGGGCCAAACTGGGTGTTGCACCACAAACCGTCCTGCGTTGAAATGGGAAGAGGAGAGCCCCCTGCGGGGGGGTGGGGTGGGGGGGTGGACAGACGGGACGGACACCCCCTCCAGCAGTGTGGGCTGTGCCTGCAGCTCTGCTTCCCTGTACAGCAGGAGGGAAAATCAGCTTCACCTGTAGGAGACAGACTGATAAAAGCATTTGCGGGGGTGGGGGTGGGGGGGGACAGGCTGCAGCACCCAGCCGTGGGCCCCCACA